TAGCCAAATTTCAAGGATGCATGAGAATTGAGAAATGCTACTAATTTGAATACACGGAAGGCATGTATAGTGCGATACCAATAAAAGGTACGACGATTTTTATATATAGTCCACCCCAATTATAGAAGAGAGTTGAATTGAATTAATTTCAAACTTTGTTTCTTCCCTCATATTTGTCGTTTCAAGACTTTTGTCTGGACACCAATTCATTAATGAATTCATGACTTTTCACCTAAGAAACATTGAAATTGGAGCCACTGCTGAAAGTGAAATTATGTGTATGAATCAGTAGAAAATGAAACACTTTGAACTCTTTGAAAGGACAACATATATACCACGCAATCTATGATTGCTCGATATTTTATTCAATCTAGTATTGTTTTGTAAGAATTACTTTCAATGCCTATAGCAATTCGGTGTAGTTTCTTCCAACCAAGTAAGGTGTTCTGATTTCCTGATGATATGAACTTTTGAAGCGAGTCATTTGGTAAAAACTCGTAAACAAGAGCTCGTTTATATCCATCAGCACATTATTCAACTAAGCGAACAACATTTACACGATTGATTCTTCCTATTTTACCAACTTCATTGATGAAATCCTCACCATTTACTTTCTTGATATCTGCATATGAATATCTCCAAGTGATGAGGCCAATGTGGAGGAACAGACGATTGCATATTTGGAGTGCTTGGATTGTCGGCGCTCAAAGAAAGTGGCATAACTTTTGCATACGGTGTCCGTTTTGGGTCCATAACCTAATTTCGGAAAGCTCGCGACGATTTGGATTGAACTTACCGCTTTGCCGTGACCTATGATGGATTTTGGGCATTTGACGTCGTCTTCCTATTCAAAATCGCGTTTCAAGTTTCGTAGTTCGTTAATTTTAATGTTTATTTGTTTTGCTTTGTAGCCCAGCCCATTTAAGGACTGTTGGCCCAGTAGGTTAACTGTTTTCTTTCATATTTAAAGATCTCCAAACGTTTGTAATTTTGGGTTGTTCAAGAAATAAGAAAAGGGCGTGAGTTTCTTAGAAAACAATCCGTTTTCACCTTATTATTGTTTGGTTTGTAGTTTCGAACTACATCACCATGGCCTAAGAGCCATGTAATCCTCTATAAAGCATTCAATTTTTTTTAATTTTTTTTTCCCGATCGCCTTTCTTTCTTTTCGTCAAGCTTAGGACTCTGCACAATGCGATGATAATATCAGCTGTACTTACTGTGTAACCAATTTATCATATCACTACTTTTGCTAATGCTCGTACCACGACGTTGTTGGGTGATGCCGTCACCGGGAATTCAAGCTCAAACTCGATCTTGTTGCTTTTGCGGCATAATAATTCAAAACCAGGATAGCCACAATGTTCTGGTTGACGACCCCTTTACTCGGAAGGGGAATTTAATGACTGGACCTTACTTCCGACAACTTGTTGGTCGACACTCAAGATCTTGGGTTGGGATAATGAATATAGTAAGGAGTCTGTTCACGTTTTTAGGAAAACTGTCCGTAAATTCACTTCTAAAATCCATCTTTCCTGGATCATCTTCTTGCTTATTTTACTTTTTCAAATTTAAATGTTCCAAATTTTAATTATATTTCATTATTTGGAGTTTCTTTCCTTCACTCTTATCTTCTTTCTTATTCTATCCATTTCATGTTTGGACCAGTATCATTCAATTGTTGTACTAAAATCTTTGTGCCACTTATTCTTCTACTTTTATTATGTCGACTTTGATTAACGAAACTAAAATCATTTTTCTAGTTGAAAAATGGGATTCGCTTAATGAGTCAATTCTCATAGGAACAATATACTGTATAACTAATCAATTCTTGACAGTGCCAACGATTGTCGACTCTTCTACTTACCAAGAGGTACAATAACTAAAATCAGTTCAACACATCACAGTAGCATCGAAAGTAAAGTAGAAGAAGTTATGAAGAAATTGATAGTTTCTTTTCGTACTTTTATCCTTCTGGTACAATTCAAGATCACATAATTCCAAAAATCAATAAGCATGCCAACAAGAATGCTCTTGTTTTCAGGTTCCATAATCTTGATTCTACTTCTATCTTGTTTAACCATCTGCAGTGCCCAAAACAACTCAGATTGTGCTCCTCCTTCTTGTGGGGATATCAACATAAAATACCCTCAGATTGAATGGTGTTTTGCAGGATTGTGGCTATCCAAATATCTTTTTCGTGCTCGACTGCCAGAACAATCAAAACATATTGAACTCAAAATCAAGAAAATACAAAGTGCAGGCTATTAATTACAGTGATTACACAGTACGCTTGATC